CCATATCTGCACCAAAGTGCATTTTTGCTTAACCCTAACCTAATTGTATTGTAATCGCCTATAAATTTAAAATTTAAATAAAAAATAAGCTTTGGTCAAAATGATAGCTCCCAACTAACTAACTCAACAAGGCAGGAGTATGTTGTGGGAAAAAACTACAATACTGATATGAATTGTGTCTTAAGATTATTATATTAAACCTTTACTGTTTTGTTCATGACATGTAGGATGTCATATACAGTAGCCTGCATGCGTCTGTACTGTGTAGGTCTACAGCACATACAGCATTTCAAAGAAAACTGCATGTATACAACCTTGTAGAGAAATCTGTATAGACTATGACCATAAACACACTGTCGGACAAAACACACAGCACGCATTTAGAGGTCACAAATGTTGTTTCATGTGTTTTATCTCCCTGAACACACAAAAGAGTGTCCCCTCTAAATCCAAACTACAACAGGAAAAGGACACAGTGAGTCCAGTGATCTGATCTGGAGTCCTGTGCAGTTTTTGTTTATCAGCTGGTTTGAGTTTTTCGGATGTTAAGGCGATAACTTTGTCTAATTACAATCCACAGAGTCACTGCCTGTATCCGCTGGGACCTTTTTCTTCATTCAAAGGGTAGAAAGAAAGAAAAAAGACAGTCTGGTGTTATAGCCTGCTTACTGCACTTCATCGCTTAAACATGTAGCTGTTAGATGACCAAATAAGGTCACATGGAGATTAGGACTACATTTAAACGCACCTTGCAACTTTTTTTCCCAACACCTTTTACGTTTTTCTTTCGGACCCTTGTTTTTGGTAGTTTGTACCGTTTTCCTACCGCGAGCTAAAAGTTTAACCCTCGTCAAAAAAAAAGCAGACTTTTGACGTTACCTCCGAGTTTCTCCTCATATCCATGGCTGCTGACATTTTGAGATAATTCCCCTTTACGCATACATCCGTCTGCGCGTTAAGAAACTTTTTTTTGCCGGAAACCTGCCCTTCTCAATAAACTCCGATTTATGTCTTTCCAACCAAAACCGACAAAACGGGTAAAAGCTCGTGCCTCCCCTCTCACAGCCTGCTGCAGGGTGGAAGGCAGGACTTGTTACCATAGAGCCGGGTTGTTTGCCCCCCACTTTTCTCTGGATTTGGCCTCGTGCCCTCCTCAGACAGGCATTCAGCCCCTCTCCCTTGTTTATTGTCACGGTGGGGCCAAGGAGTGTGGATGAATATTCACGAGCTGAAGGGGCTGCTGGCTGCTGATGGGATGAAACCCATGTTGCCAGCATTGCACCACATTGTCATGCTGAAATCCCCCACACTACTTGGCCCATAGGAATATATTTCAACCGCCACACAAAGATGTCTTTCATTTGTCAGAGATGGCTGTGTAACCAAGCAGCCCAGGGACCAGTTGCAGGAAGAAGCATTCAGATATTTTAGAAAAAAATAGTATTCCCATTCAAATGCACTTAGAAGTCTACCAGAAGTAAAAGTACTCATTATGCAGAAGGGTCCATTCTTCAGAAATGTATTGAAGTAGCAGTATAAAGTAGCACAAAATGGAAATATTCAAGTAAAGTGCAAGTACCTCATAATTGCACTTAAGTACAGTGCTTAAATAAATGTCCTTACTGTACTTACATTTCTCCACAGCTAGAGAGCAGCGACAGTGACCAGGTTTTGAATCAAAGACATTAGGCAGATATTTAGTGGTGGAAGAAATATTGGCATCCTTAAGTCAAAATAGTGATACCACAATGTAGAAATACTACATTACGAGTAAAAGTCCTGCATTTGGAATCTTATATAAGTGACATAACACGAATATTATTGAAAATGTGCTTGTATTTTAATTAATTTAGTTAATTAAGTTAAGATCAAATACATCAAAATACCACTTAAAGAGTTACACCCACTGAAAATATTTACTTGCAGCAGTGATGCAGAGGTGTACTCCAGGACCCCATGACATCACTTGTGGGTGTGGTTACAGTTGCAACACAACCCCAAATCTGTCAGCAGATACAACCTGGTGTTAAGTTCCTCTTTACGTAAAGTACTTTAGCAAATATGCGTATATTACATTCCACTTTTGCATATCGCTCAACATATTCTAAATAAATCTAAAGTGGCTGGGTGTGCTTTAGAGCTGAACCACAGGTCTAAACTTGAGGTGACCACAAAAATGAAAATATTCATCCATAATATAATATCCCCCCCCAGGTCTGAGTTAACTCCAACCCAAATTACACCACTTAACTCTCTCTGTGCTGTGGTTCTGGAGCATTCGCTGAATAACACAGAGCAGCTTTGTAATGTAATCCCACGTAAAACATCTCAGACTGTATACTGTGCATGTTCATTGGGATGTTTATCTACTGTAGGCCTTCATAGCACCTTTCGAGAACATACATTTAGCAGTGCTTTACAGTAAGCATGACATAAACACATACATTTCTTTAAGAAATCCAATGTGTTGATCAAAGCTGATCAAAATACTCACAGAACAAACAAAACAAAACATATCTGCTCTGTAGGAACTACATGACAGGGATCATTTTTTTTTAATTATCAGAAAGTTCGAACATCTACAGTTCCCGCTGCTGACGAGGACTGTGTGATTCAGTTAAAAGCTCCAGAACAAGCAGGTAAGTGGACCTTGATTGGAGATTGTTTTGTCGAGGACAATTTGAACTCTAGAGCTCGGCACCAAAACGTTTTGTTGTTTTTTTTCAACTGCTTTACGATATATTTAACTGTGAAAGTGCCCACTCACAATATATTCATCATGCTTTCAAACATGAAATCCTATTCCATTCATAGTTTACTTTTTAATGCTGCTGCATGCAACATCTTTACACCAAATGTGGCAGCATGACCCATCCATAAAACCTCTCCTTTCAGTCTCTTGGGGTGTCTTATCATCCCACAGACTTGGGACTTGGGACTTGGGAACGGAGGAAGTCACAAAACTCAGACATCCGTCATCACAGTTCGTCCCATTAAGTCAGCAAGAGGCCTACAAGCGCTGCCACTGTGCAGCTTTTCTCAGAGACCCACTTAAAACCTTTTCAAGGTCTCGTAAAAGAATGTCCTTCCTGAAAACACTGCAAATCCTCACTGTCTGAGCACAAAAGACAGAGGCAGTGATTCCTTTTTGTGTGATGTTTTACCAGAACTTTGTACTCTCATGGAATTCATTGTTTCCATTGATCGCGGCACCATCTGCATTTCTCATTAAAAGCCACATCCTCTTCTTGCATGACATGGGAGCATCAAACAAAGCTCAAAACATAGCATGGCGCGCATCTGCACACATAAGTCGTTACGTCTTTGACAGGACGCTCTGTAAGATGCCAGGCTCCAAAAACGTAATAAACAGAAAGTTTTAGGAGTGACCACAGCTCTGATGCAGTAAATCTTAGGTCTGTCTTCCCACTCTCATGACTATACACCTGCTAAAGCCACATCCACAAGGGAACGAGTGTTTATTTTCTCAAATAAAATCCCTAAACCTTATGTGTGTTTGTTAAGGATCCACCGTGAATCCCAAATCCTAAAACAGTCAAGGGGGATTATTTCACAGCTCTATGGGGATTTTCCCACCTACACCTCAGATTCTTTCTTCCAGCTTCTGCATGTCCACATGGTTCGAGGGGTCGAGAGGAGCTAAGGAAATATTGAACCCATTTGAAGATATATTTGGTGCATTAAACACCATATTGGGTTTCACAAACAGACCCGAGGCAGCTCTTAAACTCCAGGATTAAGTTGAGGCTGAGGTGTCTAGTCAACACTTCTGACAGCACTGTCAGAGAAGACTTGTCAAGTAAAGATACCCTCTCCTCGATAAGCTGCAAGTGTCTTCTGCACAGCAGCTGAAAATAATATGATCTAACAACTACTTCATTTTTCTAATACTTAAATGCCAAACACGTAACATTTTCTATTTCCCAAGGGAGAATAACAAGGAATGTAAACTGTTAGATTATTCATATTCGCCGCCTTAGGCACACTTCCAACCTGTTTTACTTAATTATACAGTCACCATTTCTACAACAAATGGAGAGGATACAAAATGACGCTTACTACCTTGTGTGTATGTGTTGGCAACTTGTGTTGCTATTAGTAGGTACTGGGAACTCTATCTTTCGGATACAGTATGCACCATAACCTGAGTGATACAAAAACACTTTATTAGAAAAGTTTGATTTTAATGAACAAAAATCGGTTACAATCCGGGTATCTCTTCGATTCATGGATTAATAACTTGAAATGGAACATTTTGTCTGAAAACCAGAAGTTTCATGGTTCGCTCAATGACAAGTAACACCATGTTACTGTGTCTAAAATGCTTTGAATAAGTGCAGAGCTGCAGTTTTCATAACACACTGTGCACCACTGTTTAGCACAAGGACAGTCCTTTATCTCATGGCATGTTAACTTTTCCCTGCACAGCAGCTAAAGCATCAGTCTGACTACTGACTCGGAAACCTTGAAGGCAAATGTAGCGTAATGGTGTGATGTTTCACACACTGGAGTTTGTGCGTGTGTGTGTCGGGCGGGTTTGGCAAAGTGTCTCAATTAAACTCAAACTTGTTGGGACATGAAGGAAAAGGTAAACACAGGTGAGGTGAGTGTGTCAATACTGTATGAGTGTAACATACATTAGTATTCTTGATGGATCAAATGCAAAGGCTGAGGCGCCCCCTGTAGGTCAACACCTGCAAATGCAGCACGAAAGCTGAGAAGAACTACTTTTTCCCCCTAAACGTCAAACAGTGGATTAGACAATGCAACAACATCGATCAAAGTCAGCGTGTATGAACAACTTCATGTCAGTCATGTTAATCAGGTCAACAATACAACAGACTACAAGATGCAAAGAAAGTTTCTTTTCTCATCAACACAACTCTCTGAAGATGCTACAAATACTGTAAGTTACTTAAAAAGGCAAAAGAATGTCGGTGGATTTCCATACATTTAATGAGGCGAAACAAACAGCTTACCTGTCTGTGTGTGTGCTGTTGCAGTGTTTGCTCAATGATCCATTCTTTAACAGAGAGTGCGAGTCGCTTTCTGTCTGAACTGCCTGAAAACTGATTTTTTTTTTTTTTTTTTTCTGCGGAAAATAGTCTCCTCCGTATAACTGGATGAAATGTGAAAGAAAAAAAGGAAAAGTGGACTGCACAGGAAATGATGACGCATCTGTATGGAAATCACTTTGCTTAATAACATCGCAGAGGCTGAGGGTTATCTAACATTTGCAGGCAAATTAAAGTTGCCTTAGTTTAGTTCCAACAGATGTTAATGAAGAGTTTAACTGCCCATTTCTAGACGTTTTTGAGTGAATGAAGGTAGAATCATGTCAACATGCTTGTAGTTTTTTTTAAAGGGAATTATACTGAGTATGTTTTCCATTGGCAGTGTCATATTCAATGTAAAAAAAGTTGCCAAGACAGTGAACAGAAACCATGTGGCAAAATCCAGTTTTAATGCCCTAAATATTTTAGTTGGTGCACATCCTAAAGCAATTTTGGGTTTAAATGATCACAAATTTATGACGAACCCAAGACAAGTAGATTTAAATAACACTGGGCAAAACGGGAGAAAGTGTGTTTATTTATGTCATTTATTGCAAGGTGCGTCTGCATATTCCTCCTGGCTGTGGTGAGCGATGTTGATTTCATCAAACTATAGAAATTGTGTTCGTGTCAATGCAGACGTGCGTAGTGGAAACTGGTAAGCAGATTGTTTAGCTGGTCAGGCCTGCAGCTAATGTAAAGCACAAAGACATCTCAACAAATGCTAGAATCACAAATATTACATCAATTTATTTCAAAGTTAAAGGTTTAACATATACAATAGTTAAGAACACTTCCATAAGTCCGTGCACAGCCCAACTACACACACACACACACACACACACACACACACACACACACACACACAATCAACTCCCTTGCACTCAGAATTAAACCACTGCCACACTAATGCTGCCTGATAGACAACAAGGACCTTCACAGTGGAACTGATGTTAGACCGAGCACATAGAAGTGCCAAAATAAAGACTACTCATTCGATTTGTTTAGGCAGTTGAAGAGAGCACTGACTTCAGGAGGGTCTTCAACAGACGAGGATCAATAGCACAGCTACGATTACTATGACATCACCAAGAGATTGCATCGATTCCTGCAACGAGGTTCAGTGACACTACTTTGCGATACCAAATTAAATGTGAAGCGTTAAATGATGGATTTCACACCAGTTACCAGACATGAAACATCATGGTAGGAATGAAGGATTCAAAACACATTTATAAAAGATTTGTTATAAAACATGCGTTTTTGAAGAAGGCTGAAAGATTTATATTGTACACTTTTTCCTTTCTCCTGTGGTGAGAGCAATAGTTTCAAATTATATTAGTTTTTTTGGGTGTGGAAAGTACCCACCAGCTACATGTTCAGATCATGACTGCAGCCAGGAGGCTGCTCTAGTTATCCAGTTCACCAACATCTGGATGTTTTACTCTGAAAGCCAGTAAATGCTTGTGAATGTGAAAGACTTGCCAGCTTTGGACTGTCGGGACTCCACCTGACACTGTGGCTAGAAAGAGTTGGAGAACGTTACAAAATATTCTCTTGAAAGATTTATTTTGATCTCACATTTATTAAGTCTTGCCCATCAAATTCTTCACTGCAGATTTTCTGGTGACTTGGCGCTTCTTCAAACCAGACCGCAGGCAGAGAGTAAATTCTCCTTTTGGAAAAATGCTATTTAAGACTGTTCATTCAAGATTGTGCAGAAATTAATTCACTGTGATCTCTTGTGCTGCCTGCAGACTAAATAAGAGTTCCCAGCTTTGATCGTACATTTAACAGGGACCTCTGCTCGACAGATCCACATCTCCTCACCGTGTTCACCTGGGAAGTGTCACACTGGAGGAGATACAAACCACAAATGAGAGAAAGGAAGTGATATAAATTGAGGGCTCTGTCACAGTGATTTTTTTTTGTTTTTTCTTTTTTGCTCGACCAGTAACTCTCACTCGCAGGGCAGTTTAACTGAGAACAACGTGACGGTCGAACACAGACTTCCTCTGTTCCTGGACCTGCCTCCTCCAGCGCTGCTGGGCATGCTCCACTTTGTTCAGCATGTTGGGTCGAGAGTGCGAACGGGACAGAACATTGTGAGCGTTGGCAAAAGGCTGCTGGTCCTGAAAACACAGAATGGAGAAAAAAACACAACTACATGATTAGCCTAAAAAGGTCATAGGTCAGTGGGTCATTTATAGGTTCATCTTGTAAGACTAGGGAAATGGGAAATGCACAAACTACCTCGTTAAATTCCTTTTTAAAACAAATTAGACTTACATTTCCTCATGTGTTCTTTATTCTCTCTGTAAAGTATTTTGTAACTTGTTTTGAGTGCTATGAAATAAAGTCACCATTGCTACTCTCAGAAGAGCACATAATAAAAGTAAAGGGAGGAACTAGATTGGGAGGATCACAGCCACAACTGACAAATGTGTTGAGGAAAATAAACCAAGATTATCAGTTGGGCAGCCTCTCTGTATCAAAGACTGACTAAACATTACAAGCCCACCATTTCCTCTATAATTAACGGAGCAGCAGTACTTGCCCCTCATACTGGTTTTGCTTTCTAATCTCTCTCCTTTGTTTTGGTCCAGTGACAAGCGACAAATAGTCTAAACTTTGGGTGAATTCGATATTTGGAGTACTTCAGTCATTTAAAGCTTTCTCTGGCAGTTTTAACAGCAATTTTCCTATTCTGTTGCAGTGCAACAAATACAGTAAACGCTAATAGCATGTCTTCCATTATTTCCTAACAAACAGCTTAGTAACCTCTACTTTTAATTTAACAGAAGTTAGACAGTGTACCAGCATCTATCGAAATGTTCACACTAACCATGGAAAACATTTCCGTGCTTACTATTGCTTAATCACATTTTCACAGCAAAAGCTTTGTTAGGAGAAACCTCTCATGAAACGCTTACTCTTACTCAGCAAGTCAGCTGCAAAGTCAGCTGCAGTGCCCCCCTCCCTCCCTCCCTCCCTCCCTCCCTCCCTCCACTCAGGCAAAGGCTTTCATTGTTTTCCTTTGTCATATCTAAAATACAATATCTAAAAATTGAGTCGTACTGGAGGCCACATTGATTTACTGCTCTTTAAATGCACTTTCAGCATTTATATTTAATGGTTTCCTGAAATAGGCAATAGTGCAAATGATAACTATACCAGCAACTGGATTACAGTGAGAAACATGAGGCTAAAAATATGATTATGTTTTGGAACTCAGTGCAAAAGTGAGATTACACTAAACCCTCAGTTTACCTAAAGCTAGCCAGTGATTCGTTTTCTTTTCTACTCGCTTATATGCGGTAATGGGAACCGGCATATTTTACACTCATTATATTTCAATGTTTACCAGGAAACCCGCTTCATGTTGCCTGAGACTGCAAGAAAATGTGTAGAGCAGTCTTTACTGCCTGGACAAATTCTAGAAACAGAGTGGAAAATCTGTTTGTTTCTGATATATGCCTAAACATGACCTGCCACTGTAAGAGTGCATACATTGTAAAACCCTTTTGGGTTGAAAATTAATACAAAAATACATTTTGGAAACAGACTACTGTTTGGCTTTGGCTTTAATCACATGACCTGATAAAGACACCTGGTATCTCATTTAATGAAGTTTAAGAATCAGGTTACATGCATGTACGATGTATGATTACGCATGTACAGATAGTGTGATGTGAACAGAAAAGGGTTGAAGCTGCCTGCATCGAATCACTCGTCTTGCAGTTTCTTACAGCTCTTTGCCTGTGAATGTGGTTTCTAATGGATCTGTTGCAGAGTGAGATCACTCTCTGTGTATGGAACCAGTATTACCACACAGCACTACTTGAAGGGCCTGTTTGGCTTGGTGTAGCTGCTGTAACACTCCATTAAAATGGACATTTTCATGTTTATTTCACCTAAAGATTCAGTATTATGTGTTGTGTCTTATGTATAATTTGAGACATATGAGATTAGATTTTACCCATAAAGGATGAATCCCATGTGACATGTTGTGCAAAGGGAGGTTAAAGAAAATATAATGAAATTCTCATGACAGGAAATAATTTAGAGTAACTCTCTTAGTACCAGAATTACTATAATATAAAAAGTATTGTATGTTAACAGTGAGTTGCAATGCTAAAAATATCAAGAGGAACAAATACCCCAACTTCATCATCATTTTGGATAAGCTGCGAGTGTCCAAATAGACGCCTCTTCAACATGGGCTCCAGGAGAGTCAGGTAGACCATGTAGAGCAGCAGCAGGCCCAAAATGGAGAGGTATATTATGATGGTGACCTAAATATTCAGAAAGATTACCGATTGGTTTCCTTTGAAAGGATCCGAACACATAAAGCACAGTGAATAATTGATAATTAATACAATCAGTAGGTGGAGCACAACAGTGAATTAAGTGACAATACAGATACAAAGGTATTAACAATCCTTTCAATGTGAACTTACCTTAATTGTCCCCGAGCTCCTCTCTTCATATTTACACTCGCAGCGTAAACAGTACGCCTCCACATCCTTTCCGTCAACCGGCATCGGTTGAACCACATGGAGACAGTTACTGAACACCGAGAAAATAACATTAACGAGCTAGTAGGAAGCAGGAAATGGACACTTCGTGTCATTCAAGGAAGTGTGATGACGCATCACTTTTGCATACCAGTCTTTAAGAGAGACATTTTGTTTGTAAATCTGACCCTCGATGTCTCTGTACGGTGGACAGATGCATTTACAACGGATGTCTTCAGAATTCTGTAACAGATCACATACATCATAATGTTTTCACTTCACACATACCTGCACATTTTGCTGGTAACACACACACACACGATATGTATGTCATATTTACTTTCTGTATTGATTTAATGGCCTTATTGTTCAGTCTTGTGCTCCTTTACTTTAAAATTGCTATTATTAGAATTAAATGAACAAACTCATAACCTTTGTTTTGATGCCATCCATACTGTACATTTTCCTCTTATGTCACATCACGCAGACATATTGATCATTAAATTGGTTATTGATTGACAAGCAGCTAAAGATGATGTCAGCTGTTAGCTTCTCTACATAAGTAGCATTTTAGCTACAGTATAAACTCAGGTGTCAGTCGGTTGGCCACACCAAGCTGAAAGTAACGCGGTGTTATACAACAGTCCGTGGGGCTTATAAGGCTTATGATGTTGCGTTTTGTTTAGCTAATGTTTGATGTAACGTTAGCTTTAGCAACACCTGCGAGATCGTTTATCTGAGCGTCACAGGAACGTCTCAAACTCAACAGTTTGCAGAGCTAACGTTCATCTTTTTAGGGAGATTTAAAGAGGTGAGGATTCAGTTTGATAAGCCATCATCAGAGTGTTCTCTCTAACGCCAGGTTAGCTAACCTATGCTAGTAAAGATTAGCCTTACCTTCGCTGTCACTTGGTTTAAAAGCACAAAACAAGCCACAGAGAAAGCCTGGAGAAGAAACACAGACTTCATCTTTAACGTGACAGTCTGTAACAGATTTACAAAAAACTACCGTTCAACACCAGCAGTGCAAATAACAGCCTAACTGTCAACTTTAGCCATCAAGCTACAAATAAGGTAAACACCAGCCCCCCAGCAGCTGACTTGCAGTTTCCGGAAATGGCGTTCGGTTTCTGCACACGCGATCACTGAAAATGAGTTCGCGACTGTGGAGGACAGAACATGACTTAAGTATAAATAAATAAATGTATAAATAAATACAGGAATAAATGTTTAAATACAGAAAGAAAGAAAGAAAGAAAGAAAATAATAATTAAATGCTGAAATAAATAAATGCTGAAATATGGAAAAAATTGACATAATTTGTCTCCTGGTTCTTCTGTGCTGGTGGGTTTGGGAAGCTCCTCACACACACAAGAAGCTGTCAGCAGCTCTTTGAATATGCTCAAAAACCAAGAAGGAGACAGACGGTTCAGGCTGAAAGAGAAATAATAATTCTAAAAGCTTTAAGGTATTTCATTTATTTATTAATTTCTGTATTTATACATTCATTTATACATTTATTAATGCCTTTTTTAAAAGAAACTACCCCTTGGTTCGACATCGTAGCAGACAGTCGGGGTACCAAGCGCTAGTTAGGCGACAATCAAGAGGTCTGTGGGAAAAGTGGGTTGAAAATCTGCATGAAATAGTGTTCCAAGATAGGATATGGAGGAGACATAACAGGACATGAAATATACATAACATGTATAGTCATTATTGCACTTTATATTTGTTTACATGTATTTACACTACCTTTACGGCCTAATTATATCTAGGTTTAAACTACTTGTATTTATATTTACCTATTATTGCACTTCATGTTACACTATACGTTTATACCTTCTCTTGTGTCTTGTTAAATAGTTGCAGTTTCCTTATATTCGAAATTATGTAAATTGTAAAGGATATACAAAAGTCACTTTACCTTAATATCTAAAATAAGTAGTTCAATGGCAGTCAGCAATTAAAACGGAAAGGAGTGTGATGTGTATGTCCAAACACTCCTTTGGTGCTGAGTATATTTTAACTTTAAATTCATGTCATGTCACAAACAGTCATGGTGTGTATGTGAATGAAATGCAATAAACAATTAAAACGTTGTTTGGTGCCATTAAAAAATGATAAATGGGGAAAGGCAATACAAACACAAAATATGTTTCCTATCTTTATTTACAGCATATTAGATGTACAAAACCATAAAAAATATACATACATGTGTCATCTAAGACAGGCGAATAGCTCAATTCTATTTTACAGGACTTTTCATTTCTTTTCATGTACTCTGAACAGTTCTCTTTGGTTGCTACTAAACAGTATAAAAATACATTGATGCATACTGGTGTCATTTTTTCAGAGCAGCAGCACTCATCCACACACCTTGGGGCATCATATACAGCATGAGCCACCAGAATTTGCAGCAATGCTTGACTGTCAAAAATGTACGTAGTTACTTCCATACATTAGCGTTTCACCTAAACCTTTTTACATCATATACAAAACATTCATCAGAATAATTGCTTTTGTGGTGCCACTACTTCTTAAGTAGTGCTAATGTTCCCGAGAAAACATTTGTGCTATATTTGTTTCAGACATTTAGCAGTATTTCTTTCAATTAAGCTCTACCTGTGAAAGTAGCCTATGTTAAAACTAGATACACACTCTATATATATACAGCATCACTGACAATCAGTATATCTGTTTAGCTACAGTCTCTGTTTTTTTAAATGATTCTATCAGCAAATGTTTCACCATGTTGGCATGTACATCATTGGATCCTGAGATTGTGACTTTAAAATCTAAAGTCATGACAATTCTTCTGTTACTTATTTAAAAGACGTTTCCAAATTTCCAAACAAAGTAATCCAGATCACCATCTGAGGATGGCCATGTAGGTTTACACTGTAACACTTTATCACCGATCATTTCTCCCTCTTTAATCTCCACTTGTCCACTTTCTCGTCAGGATTAGTTTGAAGTTCACTCTAGTGTCACTCCATGTGAAAACAGATAACTACAGAATATTCTTAAAGGCGTCAGTGGATAAAACAGATACTGTGGCCAGTATCTAGTCTAGGGGTTTTCATGAAATATCCAGTAACCGCCCATTCTAAGGGCGAAGGAATCTGAGGACTTTGGAGCGCAGGAAGCGGATGAATGATTTGGGGAACATTTCTCTTGACTCTTGTGCTGTATAGTTGAAGAAGTTCTGTGGGTGAGCCAGAACATCAAACAACGCCCTCATGAGTTTCTTGTCCTGATGAGGAAATGTATTGCATTAATGGAAAGCAAAAAAAGCATATGATACAGTGTGCACAAGTCTCCAAAAGAGGGCACTACATGCTCACTGGACCTCAGAACTGAATAATGAATAAACGGAAACACAAATCAAGTGGAGGATAGTACTGATCTTAATAATCAATAATGTCAACGACTCAGATGGGGTGCCCTGGTGGGAACCATATCATTGTAATGTCACTGGGTCAATGTCTGCCCTCGGTTCTCTACTGTCTGCTCTCTAATAAAAGCATTAAAAAATATAGAAATACAAGTCTGCTGCAGAAACCTTCTATCTCCTCTTGTTTTCTTTTATTTCTGTTTTGTTCCTTCTCTTTGTGTATTGTACATATTTTTCTATTTTAGGTGGATATTGATGTCAGGATGTAGCATTTTATTACATTTTATGTTTTCCTTGGTTAGTGAGATGACTGAAAGCTATAGATTAAATATTAAAATATATATATTGATTTGCGCTATTTAAAGACATAGTAATCAAACACTGTTTGATTGCCATTCATATTTACTATTGTGCCAAATTATACATTAAACATTGTAAAATGTCAGTTAAGTTAGAATACCCGACACAAAGACCATAAGTGCTCCTCGTTCGTACCCACATACCTTTAGAATTTCCTGGTGATTCTCTGAAGCGTATAATCTTCCATCTCTGACTATGTCTTCGATCAATTCTTGGTAGTCCTCTGAAACAAATAAAGTACATAAATGAGCTCATTGATGAGAACAAACAAACAAACCACATGTGCATGACAGTCTGGGGTAGCAGCATCATAGTTATAGCACAAAACATCATTTCTTCTTACCATCGTATGTCACATATGGGACCTGGAAGCCTTTCCCACTGTTTCCCTCGTTGGACCTGAACTGTATCCAGAGCCGCTTGGAGCGTGAGGTGAAAGCGATGGGACGTTCGTATGTCTGACAAGTCTCGTAGGTTGTCACAGAGTTGGAGAGAGCTGTGAAATGAGGATATGAGCACATAGGGTGGTGTCTCTAATTAGCTTACAATAATTATTGAAAGTAATGAGTAATAACATAATGACATATTATGTTGGTTGTCCTTGGTAACAGTGACACCCGCCGAAGATATTTTTATATAATTTTGGCCGCCCTGGTTTAAAAAAAACTCAAACACTTAACCTTAAGATAATAGTTAAACTCTTGGTGGTATAGTTTTTGTTAATTAATAGACTCACACAAACACACACAGTTAAAACGTACAGCTCTTTCTCATTACTAAGTAGTCTCCGCACTCGTCCTCAATAGGCAGAAAGATTTCTGGGACAACAATGAGGATCCTGCGTTTGGGCGGTGGGTTGATGGTCCAGGTGCATTCGACATTGGCTGGGTAGTTTCCCGGGTAGTTGGGGGACTCGATGAAGCCAGTAAAATCTCCAAGCTCTCCTCCACATTGGCGGTCTGTGAAGTGACACAGATGTGTCAGACAGGTTTTTTTTGTTCTTGGTGCAGCAAGGTGAATTATCTGGAACTGAATCCCAAATTTCATTGTCTATGTGTACATGTTTCAGAGGAACTACGGCGTACCGACATACATACTTTTGCATTGCATGAAGTTAGTGGAGCCATCAAAGTCGGTGGTGGTATTTCCAGGGCAGGTGACGCAGTAGTTCTGCCCAAACTCTCCTTGATACGTGCCTATGGGGCAGCGGATGCAGCGGTGTGTGGTGGTGTTATAGTAATGTCCTGGAGAGCACTGGACTGCAGGAGCCAATGACAGAGATTGAGGGCTGTTAATTGATACATAATGCTCCAACTATTCAAAACCAATTAGACTATATGTAAAAATACACTGTCATCAAGCTAAAACGAAAACGTTTTCCTCGAAAGGTTGACATCTAAGAGGTGCATCATATTAATATGACATGAGTGCCTAAATGTACAGACAATACAACAGCTGCAGAGGGCGGCAGAGTGCCTGTCAACACCCAAAAGAGCTCCATAGTCTCAGCAACCACATGATACTGTTGTGATGTAAACCAAAAACACAGATGTTTCAATTTATCAAATAAGTTTGACAGGTTTTCATAAACTTCATCTGCTCCAAAACAGCCATCTAATCCCTCCATTCATGTTAAGCCAAGAGATACGAGAACACTAAACCAAACTGGAGTTATTTGTATTTTACCCCAAAACAACATTAACAGAGATGACTTTCACACCTTTAGTCTCACACTCCTGAAAGGTAACAGCACCACTGCGCTTGGTGACCAGGTTCCCTCCACAAGGGAAGCAGGTGGTGCGTCCCACTTCTGGCTGGTACGCTCCCAGTGGACAGGGCAAGCAGGGGAGGAAGCCGTCATGAGAGTACTGACCTGGGGAACACTGACCTGAACACACAAGCATTTGGTCAAGAGTGTGACCTGTAAGACACAGCACATTGTAACTCTCTTACAAAACTTATAGAGCTTCATCACTTGGATTTGTTATCTTTGCTATTTTTCATGTTTAATCTAAGAGAAACTATTCTCCCCTTCTATTAAGATAAGATACAGCAAGCTAAAGCGAATCTTAATGGAATGATGCCATGTTTTATCTGCAGTGCATAACTCAACAGAGTGTAACTCCTGGGCGACGAATACAAACTGGGAGCCAGTGGGAGTTTGCTGATTGCTTCTTGTTGTTTAGTCTGACAGAGGAGATGGGATCTGGGATTCAGCCACAAAGTGACTCTGATAACGGCACAGGAGGAGACCAAAACATGGTGGCTCCCTAAGCTATTATTCCAGACTGAAAGAAGCCAAGTTCACCTTTTAAATTCAAATACATCTTCAACATCTAAGCTTGAGTTTCTTTGGCTTTACACAAA